CGGGGGAGCTGCTGGGCCGCCCTCTGTCATTGCCGCCCGGCAGCCTTGGCCCCAGGGCCTGGCAGGGAGGCAATGTCTGCCCTGGGCAAGCCCATCTCCCAGGCTGGAGCCAGCATGTGGGTCTTGTTTGCTGTAGCTGCTGTGTCTTCATACTGCGAGAGTCCGACTCTGCCACTGCATTAAAAGTCACCCCAGAGGGATGTGACAGGAAGCTGGGCCATGGTCACAAGGAGGAGATGCCGTCACCCCAGCCTGCAGCAGGAAAGGGCTCAGGCACGCTGCTGCCCACCCTTCCACCACTCACAGGCGGGGAACCCAGCAAGTGCTTCTCCAATAGAATAAACTAAGAGTATTTTGTACAATAAACACAACTTGTCCAGCCCTCCCCCCTCCCGTCCCCCCCAGCCCGAGGAAGAGGAGTCACGAAAAGAGGCGGCACTCCGTGCCCCGGGGAGCCCTGCCCAGGGCCCTCTCCTCCTCCAGGCTCAAAGCAGCTCTTGTCCATGCACGACACGGGGAAGGGGCGAGACTGCAGCCCTGGCTGTGCAGGAGGTGCCTGTGCCAGCCCCTACTCCAGGTAGATGTCCTCCGTGGGGCATGTGTACTCCACATACTCCTTGTAGAATTGCTGAAAAGCCCTCCTGCAACACAGCACCGGGCAAAGCTGAGCAGCGTCCTCCCTGCCAGACATTTACAGAGCCCCGCTTCCCTTCTCGCCCTTCCTCCCTGCCCTGCTGCCAGTCCCACCCTTCCCCGCCCCAGCCCCTCCGGCGTTAGCACCCAGAGCTGCCACCAGAGCCGCAGGGTCTCCAGCCCCGGCACCGATCCCCTGCACAGTGCACGACTTTCAGCCCTCTGCCTGTGAAGCTCTGCACCGGGACTTGTTCCAGTGCTGTCAGGAACAGGCTGCCCGTAGCCCTGTCAGCTCTGGCTCTCGCCCCAAGCCTCTCACTGGAGGGAATCATAGAATCTTAGGTTGGAGAAGACCTCGAAGATTATCAAGTCCAACCATCCACCCAACGCCACCATGCCTACTAAACCATATCCCGAAGTGCCACATCCATGTGTTCTTTGAACACCTCCAGGGACGGTGACTCCACCACCTCCCTGGGCAGCTGCCCCCCCCCCCCCCCGGGCCAGCCTGTTCCGATGTCTGACCACTCTTTCAGTAAAGAAATTTTTCCTAATATCCAATCTAAACTTCCCCTGGCACAACTTGAGGCCATTGCCTCTTGTCCTATGGCTAGTTAGTTTGGAGAAGAGACAGCCAGAAGAGGTGCCAGCCTGGGGTCAGGTCCAAGCCCCACATGTATGGGGAGATGGCAGGGGTCAGCCTGGCTGCCTCCTTCTTCCTGCCCTTCGGGAGCAAGCACCACTCTGCCCAGACAGGACTCACCCTACGGACTCTGCCAGTGGCTTCGTGGATTCCTCCGAGACAAAGACATGACAGGCAAATCTGTGGTCAGCAGGGTGCTTGGTGATGAACCCAAAATATCTGAAGGCGGAGAGAGTGGGTGAGACTGGACTGGCAGACAAGCAAGCACAGGTATCCCAGCACCCCCTTGGGCACAGGTGTTTGGGATCTGCACCACCCCTCTCCCCAAAACCCCAGTGGCCACCAGCTCCCACAGCCCATGCCCACAGCTGGGATGTAATTCCCACCCCCAAGGCTGCAGCGCAGGCCTTTCAGGGGAAGAGGAGCCCTTCCCGGCCCCAGCCATGCCACCCCCAGGGAGGAGGAAGGCAGCGAAGCCTCTGTGCCAAGCTGTTGGCATTGAGAGCCACCTCGCGACTCCTTACTACTCACTTGTTGTTCTTTGGATGGTACCCACAAAAGGAAATGTTCTTCAGCTGGAAAAAATGGCTACACTTGTTTACCTGAGGGAGACAGAAAGAGGAACCGTCCAAGCCTTCCTCCCCACCGACAGAGGGGAGATAGAAGGTGAATGGATAACTTAGAACTAAAGAGGTCATTCAAGCCTGTGTGTTCAAAAGTCCCAGCCAGAAATGAGAACTTATTTATGCCAGTTTAAAGAGCAGTCAAACTGATGGCATCCTCTTGATACAGGCACGACTCATAGAAACCCCAGCCCAGCTCCCTACCACGGCACCCATGGCTATGAACTGCTCCCACCCCCAGCTGTGGGGGAGGTCTCCCGAAGGCTTGCTGCAAAGCCCCCGCTTGCTTCTGCTCAGCATCTCGCTGTGCTTCGCTAGGCTACTTATGCAGAAGACTAATCAGCAGCCTGCCATAGCCAGCTAAAGAGATTACGGGGAAAATCTGGAGGACACCACTCAAAATAGTAGCAGAACGGTTTAGGAGCAGCTGACAGATTGCCAGTGCGGCTCAGCTCACAGCATCCCAGCGCAGCGACGTGCTTGGCAGCTGCGAGGGCATCAGCCGGTGGTACGGCCCAAAGCTGGGATCCTGTGAGGCACGGGGGACCCTGATGGTGGGCCTACAACCCCGCTGATGGTGTTTCTCACACCCTTAGATGGGTGGAGATCCTCCATTTTCATACGCAAAGATGACCTGCAGCAGAGGGGGCACGAGCCAGCTGCTGGGGAAGGGACGAGAGGCGCGGGGAGCGGAGCACTACCTTGCTGTGCTCCTTGGAGTCATCGACTTTCACGGCTATCTTGACCCCACGCACGCTGATCTCCAGGACGCAGCTGGAGGGTGGGTTAAAGTGCACAGTGAGGCGGCGCGTGGTGGCAATCTGAGGCGGAAGACAGAAAGAGACAGAGCCCCGGCAGTCCTGAGCAGTGATGATGGCTCGCCCCTTCCCTTCCCTTCCCTTCCCTTC